TCCGATCTGTCTGTTTTATGAAACTTAAAATTATTTGGAAAAACAATGACATTAAACTTTGCTGCATATAATTTTGGATAGTTTAAACATTTTATTTAAAAAATATTTTTAGTTTGGAATAAAATATTTTTGTCTCTGTCTAATCAAATACTTGGCAACTTGTATGATCTTATATTTGTTTTTGGACAACTTTTATTTGTTAAAATAATATTTTTGGTTTAGGAAAAATGTAATGTACGATACTTTTTTATACACATGGCGTACTTTTTTTTTAATTATTATATTAGTATCTCAATAATTATTGCGAAGATCGCAAAATGGTAGAGGACTTTTTGGATTCAATTTAGCCTACTCTACCTGCCTACGAGTGCTTTACCATTGAGTACCAGACATCCTGTATAGTACAAATAAATAAACATTTCTTCTTAGTAGTTAAACATTCTAGTAGTTAAACTCTTATATATTATATTATAGGCATCAAGAAACCCAATCATAGGAAACGATTAAAAGCGGAAATAGACAATTTGAATATAGGAGATGGATTACCAGAACACGTGCCCGGATCGCTGGAAGAATGGCTTAGGCTTCTCAGGCTCGAGGAATATCTTGGCGCTCTTCATCAACAGGGTATGCGATCCGTCGAAGACGTGACAACTCTCACTTGGGAGGACCTTGAAGACATTGGTATCGTACGATTAGGGCATCAGAAAAAATTATTGTTAGCAATTAAGAGAGTTAAGGATATTCGCGCTGGCAAACGTATACAACCACTTGACCTGGCGCGCCTGCCGCCACATCCTGGACACACGCAGGTAAATCATTATTTTTTATTGTCCTCATCAATATCGAATTTACTAACACAAGGGAAGGGAAACCTCCTCCGATTTTGATGAGCTTTGAAAATGTTGTTTTCTAGACAAAAATAAGAACTTTTCTTTTTTTATATACGTATCTTTATGCACTTTTAAGTGATAAAATACCGCTCAGGAAAAGAATGTTCTTTCGTTCGAAGCAAATATTGTCGAAATCATAATATAAGAGAAAAAATGTATGAGAACTAAAGTTTAATGGTTTAAAGATTATAATAAATTTAAAAAAATTATTTTTTTATGTATCTCCACTATTAAACTTGTTTTTTTAAATTTTGATATATTCAAAGTTTATGAAAATCTGATCAAAAGAGGGGGACATTTGGGTCCCTTTGCTTGTAAGAAAAAACAAAAAAAATTCTAATTACTTTGATCAATATATTATCGTAAACAATGTTACGCAATATAATAGATTATAATAGATTGCATAATTTGCGACTTTTTAGGACGTTGTTATTCAACGAGGTGGACCTGATTTACCATCGCCTGATGAAGATTGTTCCTCGCCTGTACTTAGATCTTTTCAAAGGGGCGGAAGCGACGCTACTTCTTGTGTTACTTGGAAAAGTATGTACGCTGCGTTTCCAACTGACTACAATACAGTCGGCCGTACTAGCTCCCGAGGAAAATCCTTGGAAAGTTTAGAAGACGCTCCACTTGTCTATCCTCCATCACCGGCGCCTACGTCGCATCCACAACCCCTCGAGTGGCGTCCACGCAGTTTTGAGGATGGCGATCTTACACCTACAAATGATGCTTCCGTTGTGGATGCTGGTGGCGGCACTCTTCCACGACCAAGACATTGCCTCGTTCGTCCACGGCCCGTAGCCAAGGTATATTCGATTGTTTCGGATATTTGAAACGGATGATTGAAACAAAATTGAGAAAGCGAGAAAATTTTGTGCTGATTTCATGATTTTAAGGTAGTACACTCGCAAATTCAAAATATTGAGAATTTCTTGAAATTGAAACTATATGTTGTACTAGAAGTCGTTGAGACGCTTGTCAATTAGAATGAGATTGACCATCTCAATACTGAGATATAAGCAATTAAAA